ACAAAGCAGCCAATACACAGTATAAATAGGAGGTAAGAGGGCTTGGGGGGCTTCTTGTAGGAGGGGGGATTTTAGTTGGGACTTCAAGGAAGCCAGGGAGGTCAGTGGTCAGAGCAGAGAAGGGAAAGTGTTCCAGGCATGGAGGACAGCCAGAGAGCTGAACGATGGAAGGTCTCTGGAGGGCTTGGAATGCCAAGCAGAACATTTGGTATTTGATCCCGGAGGCGTTAAGGAGCCACTGGGGTTTGTTGAGAAGGGTGTGTGTGTGTGACATAATCAGATTTGCACTTGGCTGAATGGAGGATGGTCTGGAGAGGGGAGAGACTCGAAGCAGGCAGAACCCCCAGCAGCCACTGCAGGTGTCCAGGTGTGAGGTGATGAGGGTCTGCACCAGGGTGGGGGCAGGGGCAGAGGAGGGAAGAGGATGTATTGGTGAGATGCTGCAGAGATGGAAGGACAGGTCTTGGCATGTCCTAGCCACCGGGTTGGGGTTCCTTCCCTGGCGTGGGCACAGGATCCAGGTCTTGAAGCTTAGTAGCGTGTGCAGAAACGTGGGCCAAGACTACCCTCTGTCCCAGGGAGGCTTAGAAAATGGGGCCAGCAGTTGGTCAGAAAATGATCTGAGGATTTGAGTGGATGTGGAGAGAGGCAATATGATGTGGGGCTGTCTTACAGAAGGCAGAGCTCTCAGGACTGAGGAGGTGATGCTAATCCCTCAGGCCACGCTCAGTCCTGTGGTCAGTTCTGGGAGGCATGACTTAATATAGCGGTCATTACCAAACTGCCTCCCAGGAAACCAAAGGGAGCCTGGGTGAGAGATGATAGGTGTCCTGGGGGATGAGCCACCCAAGACGTTTCTTTCCCAAGGCAGCTGGGCTGCTTGTCCTTCCTTCTCAGAGGACCAAAATGATATCATGATGTTGGAGTCAAGGTCCAGCGTGTCTGACTGTGGTTGATCAGAACAATATGAGCTCGGAAGGCTCTACCACAGGTCGGGCACAAATGGCTCATGTGAACATTTGGGGTGGATTCTCTAAATTTGTGCATCTTGCATTTCTTTTGAGCTCCTTCGATTCTGCTCTGCTCAGAGCACAGCCCCTCCTCTGATGAGGGCACGCCATGCTGGGCGGTCCTGTGCCAGTGTCTCCTATGTCTCACAATCAATTCCAAAGTTCTTAAGAGGGTCCTTGAGAGTGTCCTTGTATCGCTTCTTCTGGCCCCCATGGGAGCACCTGCCTTGGGTGAGTTCTCTGTAAAATAGTCTTTTTGGCAAGTGTACATTTGACATTCAAACAACGTGGCCAGCCCATTGGAGTTATGCTCTCTGAAGCAGAGATTGAATGCTTCGATTTAGTTTGAGAAAGAACCTCAGTGTCTGGTCTCTTATCCTGCCAGGTGATCTTCAGAATCTTCGTAGGACTGAAGCACTTCCAAATGGAAGTGATTCAGTTTCCTGGCATGGTGCTGGTAGACTGTCCAAGTTTCACAGACATTTAACAATGAGGTCAGCACAACAGCTCTGTAGACCTTCAGTTTGGCAGTCAGTCTAATACCTCTTTTATTCCATATTTTCCTTTGGAGTCTCCTAAACACAGAGCTAGTTCTGGCAATGTGTACATCACCCTCATTATCAATGTGTGAATCCCAGGAAAATATACTGCCAAGGTGAGTGAACTTACCTACAATTGTAAAGCCTGGAATTCCCCCACCTAGGGATTTCTACATCTCTCCCTCTCCACACAGTGAAACAAGTTTGTTACCAAAGGAAAAGGCCAAGGAGCTCCATATTGATCAATTGAGTTACTTACATTAAGAGCCAGTATAATGGATTCCTGCCAAGAGTTCAGATAATCAGCAATCCATGGTGAGTAGCCAGGCAGTTCAGTGGATCCTGACAAAGAACCCAAAAAATCCCCGTGGTAATTATAGAAAACAGACAAAGAGAGGAGGAGCTAGAGAGTGCATGACTGCTGATTGGGAGATATTTTTGGTTTTCTGCTTAGAATGAGCTTGAGCATTAGGTCAGTGTTACGCCCAAACATAAGTTTGTGTATTGATCATGTACCAGTCACGATATTTTTGTTATGGCTTTCATAGGTCATAGTATTTTAAGTTACGACTCAATGTCTAAGTTATGATTCAGTATTTAAGTTATGATTTTAACAGATCACCATGTCTGGGCTTCTACCTTTCATAGAGTTTAAGTTTTTAATGGCTTTTCTGTTATTACTGTATTTTGTAGCTTTTTCCCAATGGGGACCCACAACAGTATTCCAGACTTCTCCATTTGCTGTAACAGATGGTTCCACATATGGATGGTGTGGTGCTGGCTGATGGATCACCTGTGTTTTCATGGTGCTAATTGTTAGGCCAGAATTAGCACAAGCAGCAGAGAACTGATCCATACTTTATAGCATCTCATCCCCAGAGGCTGCATTGAGTACATAATCACGTGCACAAAAAGTCACACACCAACTATCCCTCCACTTTAGTTGTAGCTTGTAGTCTTTTCAAGTTAAGTAATTTACCATCAGTGTGGTAGCTGATGCTGATGCTTTTTCGTCTTCATTGAAATGTCGGACAATATTGCTGAAAACCAGGCTTTTGGGAGGAAGGGTGTAGACCTCCATCGGCACTGACATTCAGCTGGGACCATCCCTGGAGAGAACTGTGGTTGCTGGGACAAGGATCTGAAGGTGGGGACAGGCAGAGCACTGGAGGGGTTGGGATAGATGGGCAGCCTCTGTGAAATCTGCCAGGTCAAATGAGATTGAGGGAGAAGGGATGTTAGCTTCTGGAGCTAAACTTGTCTCTGAATGCTTGATGAGGCCATCTCAACCACCTTCCAACCCTTGGGCAGACAGAGGGTGAAGGAGCAGACGGGCTTGCTTAGAATTGTCTGACCAGGTTTCAATCAGTCACATGACCATTACAAAGTGACTTGTCTACACCTCATGAATGAGACTGGCCACTAATGGGTGAGGAGACCCCAAATGCAGAGATGGGGTCCAAGAGGAAAGATGATTTTTCTAACTTGGCCATTTTTAGCATGTCTCAGGTCATCCTCCTGGGTCTACAAACTGGTGACCCCCCCCCCCCAGCAGCACCCTCCAAGCTCCTGCCAGGGGAAAAGTCGTGCTTGAGCTTACACACAGTGACCACCCTCTGCTACAGCCTCTGGGCTGGTGGCCCAAGCTGCCCGTGTACACACCACCTCCCAACGCTCCTCCAGCTAGTTAACAGCCTGATTCTCTGAAGACTTCAGGAAGCAGAAGAATGGAGGTGTGGATGGCTTCTGCAGCTCCGTGTCTTCGTGGTCCACCAAGGGCCCCACCAGCAAGGATATGGACGAGACGGACAGTGTCCAGGAGAGGGTTGTGATAATGGCGAATGCCCACCACAGGAGGGCTGGTTGAAGGAATCAGAGAAGAGAAGGTTGAGGAGACAGAGGTAGCTCATCAGGTGGATAGAATGTTGGGTTTCTATTCAGGGTTTACATCCTTCTGAAGCCTATCAGCTTAGGTGAGTCACTAAACCTCGCTGGGCCTCAATTCTTTCATCTACAAAATGAGAGAGTAGACTTGATGGCTTCTAGAACTACTATCCTGCCCGCAGGGAGCTTCCATGCTACCACTGCCTGTCATGTCTGCATGATCTGAGCACACAACTCAATATAAAGTTTATTCTACAGATGGCAAATCCATCCAAGTTGTTAACACAAGCCTTCTGACAGGTAATGTAGTGTAGCGGCATCGGTCTGGAAACCACCAAGACCTGGGTTCGTTTCCCACATGGCTCCATTGCCTTGGGTGTCGCCATCATGTCTCCAGCTAGGCATCTTCTCACTAGTCTTCCCATCCTCCACCTCTCGTTTGCTTCCTTTTGTATATTGTCTTCTCTTACTAGATTGTAAGGGACTATCTTTTGCCTTTCTTTGTATCCTTAGTGCACATTGCCTAGCACATAGTAGGAGCTTAATATTTATTGACTGATTGATTGGGTTCAAATTCTGCTCTTTGGCTGTGTGACCCTGGGCCAGTCACTTAACCTCAGTGTCCCCTAGGACTGTCAGGTATAGAATTGGCACTGTTCGTCATTGGTAGAGGGAGTTTCCTCATTAAACAGTTCCACAAAATGATGAAATCACAGGTCTGGTGCAAGCAAAATAAAACTAGCCTCTTTTAGAAACCTAGCATTCCTAAGGAAAGAAAGTGCCTCCACCCAGCCCATTCACGTGGGGATGGCTGCACTACCATGGGACTGCTTTGACATCCCCCCTATGCCCCAGGAAGCTCATGATGGGGCAAACCTCACAGTCCTGCAGGATCCCGCCTTCCTTGGGACTCCACCCTCTCACTAACCTGGGTCCCTCTGCCGGGAGGGTGGAGGCATCCATATCATGCTTCCCCTCAAGGAGCACGCTCAGTTCCGACTTCTCATTTCCCACCTGACTGTATTACTTTGGGATTTCTTCTCCAGGTACCACCTTCTCCTCCTCTTCCCTCCCTCATTGGCCTTCAGCTGTGCAAGAGTGAGTGTGTGTGTGTGTGTGTGTGTGTGTGGTCTTCCCTCCTTGCAGGCAGGAAGTATCTTTTGTATCTGTATGCCCAGCACTTAGGACATCGCCTGGCACATAGGAGGCATTTCATAAATGTTTATTGAATGAAGGAATGAATGAATGAAGACCTAAACAGTCTTCCAAACCTGGAATCCCAGGCTGTCTTCTGCCTGTCCTTTGAGCCCAGTCTTCTGAAGGGAACTCGAAGATGGACAGGCTTAGCCTTAATAAATAGCAACAACATGAGGCAGCATTTCCCCAGCCGTTTCAAGTTTGCAAAGCCCATTCCGTGCTTTCTCACTTCGTTCTCACAAGAGCGCTGTGAAACATGCTTTTATCCCCATTTTGCAGAGAAGGAAACAACTCACCAAGGTAAATGACTTGCCCAGGGTCACCTACCATCTGAGACAGAAATGACCTTAGGTTGGCTCTCTATCCACTTCCATACGCTGACCTTACCCACTCCATCTGTCCTGAGCCCCCACCCTCAGACCATGGTTGGCAAATCCATGCCAGGCCTTGTAGAGTCACAGGACTAAGATCTAGGAGGAAGCTTGGGATTTGTCTAGTCCAGAGGAGGAGAGGGAGGCTTAGAGAAGAAAAGAGATGTGTCCACCATGTCCCACACATGCCAAGAGGCAGAGCGGTGATCCAAACCTCAGTCCTCTAACTTGAAAGTAGAAGAGTTGTTGGGTTTTTTTGCATCCCCAGAGCCTGGCACAGTGCCTGGCACATAGTAGGAGCTTAATAAATGTTTGCACATTGATTGTCCACCTGTTAGAATGTAACCACCCTGAGGGCAGGGACGATTAAAAAAAACCCAACTTATCAGGATATCCCGAGCTTTGCAGATGCACATGATAAGCGCTTAATGCTTGCTGATTGACTGACTGACCGACAAATCTGACACTCTTCCCAAGGTACCAGAGCTGTAGCAGACCAAGGCAGTGAAGACCAGGGGAGTAACCTAAAATAACTTTGATTTATTAGGCACAGCGGGGTGGGGCAGGGACGGTGGAGGAGGCCTTTCTGCTGGCAGGGACTCCTAGGACATTTCCTCCTCAGCATCCTCAGAGGCCTCATTGGTTTCCTTGTACTCTGCACTGTC